ACATCAGTGACATCACAGTGACACAACTTACCTGTGGTGTATTTGTCTCCAACCTGATGTCAGAGTAGGTCAGTGATGTCACTGCTTCTGCTTGAAAAAAGAGACCTGCAGAAAGATGACATCATCACATCACATGATTACATCCTTCCTGATAAATATCGAGTCAAGTGTAGCTTAGCACAGACTTTGCATACATACACAGCGTTGGCACGATCTTCATCAGGATCTCCATGGCGACACGTTCTGCCCGATTGGATCCAAAGAGTTTTTCTAGAAGTCTCCACGTCGTCCGTCTGTCTGCATGTTCCAACTGCTCTCCACCAATGGGAGAGTGACTTTCTGCAGTCATGTATTTGTTGACCAACCACTGGAAACACTTGAGTTCATCTGAGACCAGAAACTCCAACATCTCCATGATGACAACTGAGTCTGAGGCATTCTGGGAAACAAAAATAGGACAGCTGGTGACATCATGGATCAAGGTGAACTAGTGGTCTTCAGACCTGACATTCCCTCTGAGCTTTGCTGAAACTGTCAGGTGACAAAAACAAACCTTGTCCCTGATGTGATCCTCTTTCAGCTCCTGCAGTAAAAAGGGTTCTGATTGACCAAGGGCGTGGTAGAACACTTGCTGAGCTTCCTCCCCCTTCCTGAGGACCAGGTCTACTAGAACCCGGTTCCTGTCCTTGCAAGCTCCGTAGATGGCAATGGCCTCCCTTTCTGAGGCGTTTAGGATCCTGCAGCATTGCAGGGCTTCCAGGATGGGGCTGGGTCTCTGGATCCTGCTGATAAGCTTCCGCCGCTGAGTCTTCACAAAGCCTTGGACAGGTTTTAGATCTGATTCAGGTCTCAGGGGGATCATGGTGAAACGTACAGGGCGAACCTGATGATTTCCGCCGATTAGAGACTGGACTGCGGCCAACACTGCTGGCGCTCTGTCCTCCTGGTAACACCTCATCATTGTTTTGGCGGTGCTGCAGGCGTCAGCAGACCGCAGCCAGCGTGGAGGGATGGGGGGGAAGTCCTGCAGCAGGTTTGACTGACTGAGACCCCACTGGATCCTCCAGAGCTCCACAATTGGTAGCTTTGAAAGCTCCCGCAGCAGTACATCCTCCTTACCGTCCTCCATTGGGGTATGGGGTGAGTCCCAAACCTGAACTGCCTCCAGCATGTCACCCATGAGTTACTTGAGTGCCCTCAGCTTTGACTGACAGGCCAAGAGACCTCCTGCAAGACAAGCAAAGAGGCAACAAAAACCCTGACCAAATCAGTTCAATTCCATTTCATTTTATTTATATAGTGCCAAATCACAACAATAGTTGCCTCAAGGGGATTTATATTGTAAGGTAAATAGGTGTGCAGAGCCATAGCTGGACTGGCCATCAGGCATTTGCCCAGTGGGCCGATGGTGATTTTGTTTTTTTGTTTTTTGTTTTTCTTTTGTAACGGTATAAACAATGAAAGGTGGTGGATTGGCCAGATCATGGCCGATGTGTAAAAACAACTCAGTTGTTCGGTGGTGGCTATGGCGGAGCTTCCACCAGCAGGTTGATGAGGGAAAGGGGAGGCAGGAGGAGGAAAGACCCAAGACGGTCGCCGAGTGTCAGGTGAACTGATCTTCAGGTAAGAAATTATGACCTGCAGTCTATCTGGGTCAAATATAAACTAAGTTTAGGTGTAGTTTATTTTCGTTGTGCTAACCTTTTACAGTCACTTACAATACCTTGTAGCTAGCATGACGGAGTTTCTATACAGCTGGGTGGGTGCTTTGATGTTACTGATAGTGAACTTTATTTTATTCATAGTTAGTAGAGTTGCCAACCGTCCCGTAAAAAATGGAATTGTCCCATATTCAGAGAAAATATTATGTGTTTCGTATTGAGCCGAAAAGGAACGCAGTTTGTCCCGTACTTCAGCTAGAATTAAAAAAAAGACAGAAAGCTGGAGTTATTCTGTGTCTTTACGCTGCACAGCTGCTTCTTTTTTATCATTCATTTCTTAAAATGTCTCGCTTCTAATAGCTAATTATCTGAAAATATGAACGTGTTTGAGAATTATACCAGTACCTCTGATTTGAGGTGCTATTTTTTACAGGAGCTACAGTATCCAGTCATACGTAGTGAGGAGGTAAAATTATTAAGAAGATAATCGACCTCTGTTGGACTAGCGTTCAAGTAGCTGCTCTGCTCTGTGTTAGTACAGGGCATTGAAGATGATAACAGTGGGTGGATTATATTCTTAAACAGCACTTTCAGAAACACATCTTCTGTGATGCAATCTACTCCCCACTGCTGTGTAATCAATTATTGTAAATTTAAAAGTTATTAGGAAATAATCAGACAACAGAGGGTTTTCACCAGGGGCGGAGCGTGGGGGTGGCTTACTGGTGTTATGGTTCAAAATATTGGGGATGGAGATAAGAGGAAAACCACAATAACAACACTGGTCCGGCCGGGTTAAGTCAAACGATGATTTTAATAGTCACACGC